TACAACTTGGTACGGGTCGGAATCCAGCAGCTAGCGTCAGGTTTAGAAAATGTTTTCCTTCTCAATTCTCAACCACTTCCAAGAGTTGCTTCTCTTTTAAATCACTCAACTTGATGATATCAAGAATCCTATCCCATAAGCAATAGAAAGTTACACGATATAGAATTAGATTTCAGTTTTTTTGAAGAAAGTAATGCCGTTTTAATGGAGTTTGTATAAAAATTATGGCTAGCCAGGACTGTTTCCTACAATTTCTCAGCACTTGATTCGTGCATCCTCATGCATGTCAACTGGCTTTACTTCGATCGTTAATCTGTGTGACGGTGACCATTTCTTTAATGTAGCAAACCACACAGAGGTATCTGTATTCTAAGCATGGGTGCTTCTAATCATGGTTAGGCACTCGGGGACCATGCTTCTATGGAATTAAGCATGGCTCCAAGAGGATATCAAATTTCGATGATTTGACGTTCTTCATGAATATTAGTCATTGATTACTCGTGAAAAGCTAGCCTGTGGATCCTCTGAAACAACGATCGATGGAGGTCGATATTTGAGATCATCCAAAGGACAGACATGCGAATAATGACTAACTAATATTCATGAAGAACCAGTCACGAAAATTGAAGATCACGTCCAGGACCCCATGGACGATACCTCCACCACTCTATCTGAAATGACCAAAAAAAAAAAAGGTTAATAAGTAAGGATATTGTCTCTCAAGTGCCACCATGCATCTTCGTTATACTAAGGTCATGATAAAATAATACTGTTTTAATTTTTATAAATCAAACCAACAACCTTTTAAAAAATAATTAAAAAATTAAATTAAATTTTGATTAAGTTATAAGTTGATTAATCATATTAACTTTTTTAAACTTGGTCTAAGTTAATAGTCAAATTAGTTAAATTTTAAATCAACTCATCAGATTAGGTCGAGTTTTACTTTTGGTTATCAAAATAAAGGATAAAAGTGCTTTTAGCATCGAATTCACCGGTCTATAGCAAGCATATATATATCACAAATAATAGTTAGGAAATTTGTGGATAAGTTTAGGAGATTTAGATGATTATTAAGAGGAATATCATAATCCTTTAAGGATGTGAAGGGCTTACCTCAGCAACCAGAACCAAAAGCAGGGGATCGAGAAACAGAAACAGGTAGGAAAATTGAAAAACATGAAGACCAAACTCTCAAAGGGATACCAAATTTTCAGACAAGCATCCATGCTTTACATGCACTATCATATCTCGCGAATAGACTTTAGAGATTAGATTCTTTATCTTTGATAGTATAACAATATCATTAATCTTCATTTCCAAAACATCAATATTTGTTTATATTTATCTATATAATATGGTGTTGAAGCATTTAAGGACATTGCCAGACCAGGTGAACCTTCGCACAGCTTGTGGTAATTTATAGCAAGAGCGCATTTGACATTGGTTTATTTAGGTTATCCTTTTAAGAACAAAGAATATCTTAAATTACATGATAATTATTTGCTTCGTTTTTTCTTATTATTATTTTTTCCTCTCTATTGCATATTAGCTTAGTGTTTAGGAAGGAGGATGGGATCATGTTTTTAAAAAATATTGAATTTTTATTTAAAATTATTTTTTATATTTTTTTATCATTTTAATGTGTTGTTATGAAAAATAATTTTTTAAAAATAAAATAAATATTATTTTTAAATAAAAAATACTTTTAAAAACAACGGATAAAACCCTCTACTAGTTATAAATATGCAGTTAAGGCCTTCACGTGTCCTTTTGTTTTTTAAAATAATATTACTCGATAATTATTTGCTTCATTTTTTCTTCTTATTATTTTTTCATCTCAATTGCATATTACCTTAGTGATTGGAAAAAAAGTTGAAATCGTGTTTTTAAAATATTAATTTTTTATTTAAAATTAATTTTTTTATATTTTTTTATCATTTTAATGTGTTCATATAAAAATAATTTTGTAAAAATAAAATAAATATTATTTTAATATATTTTTTAATAAAATATACTTTAAAAAACAACTATTATTTAAAAAAAAATCCAACACAAAGTTATAAATATGTATTTCAGGCCTTCATGGGTTCTATCGTTTTTTACCCCATGTAGCCTTTCTTTTGAAACTTTTTAAAAATAATAATAATAATAATAATAAGAAAAGGCTGTAAAAGAGCAGTTAAAAGGCCTGACTGTGTAGAGCTAGGCCATGAGCCCACAGACAGAGAAGAAGAGACCAAGGAGAGCTCCACCCGACCACCGAAGAGACAGTTAGTACCACAGGCCCAGCTTGACCTAATCTAGTCTACTGTGAATCGATCATATCGTTATGGGGCAGAACATGTTAAGAGCTCGGCTCGAACACAAACAAAAACTAGAGGAGTTTCGGAAGAATCAAAACTTAACAACAGGCACCCAGTAAGAACTAGAGAGCAGATTGTTGGGTTTTGATCGAAGCTAAATAAAAATGAAGCCCTCGCTAGTTATGGAATGATCCCATGATCATTTTTCACTTGAACAATTTGTTTTGTTCAACAATTTTCCAGACATGGTGTTGAGGAGGAAATTAACACTAACCTGCTGTATATTCCTAAGAAATTATTTTCTTTCTTGGAATTGCTTCGAATTCAAATTAGATTTAAAGAGGTTTCCTTCGCCATTTGAACCAACAATACTTGGATGTTTCATCAGCATGCTTTAAATTACAGTGACCAAACCCTATCTTGTAAATTTGACAATGATATGTTAATTCAAGTTTTTGATATGCTAATTCAAGTTTTGATTTGTTTGTAGGAAAGTAATTTTTTTAAGTGATTTTCTTTTAAAATAAATTTTAAAAAAATAAATTATTTTTTAATATTTAGTAGTGTCATGGAAAGTAAATTGAAAAATATTTTATAGTGTTTTGTTATTTCATGAAAAATAAGTTGGAAAATAGATTTATTAATGTTTTATTTTTTTCAAGTTTATTAAAATAATAAGAAATAAATCTTATAAATTAAAAAATTGAATGAAAATGGAATTAAAAAAAATCTAATTTAATAAATTATCTTAAATAAAATAAATAATAATCAAAATAATAGATATCAAATCTATATATATATAAAAAATTGAAAAATGGTGAAATTAAAATTCCTAATTCAAGTTTTGATTTGTTTGGAGGAAAGTAATTTTTTTAAATGATTTTTTTTAAAAATAAATTTTGAAAAAATAAATTATTTTTTAATATTTAGTAGTGTCATAGAAAGTAAATTGAAAAATATTTTCTAGTGTTTTGTTATTTTATGAAAAATAAGTTGGAAAATAGATTTATTAATGTTTTATTTTTTTCAAGTTTATTAAAATAATAAGAAATAAATCTTATAAATTAAAAAATTGAATGAAAATGGAATTAAAAAAAATCTAATTTAATAAATTATCTTAAATAAAATAAATAATAATCAAAATAATAGATATCAAATCTAATATATATAAAAAAATTGAAAAATGGTGAAATTAAAATAATAATAAATATAATTTTATAAATTATTTTAAATAAAATAAGTAACAATTAAAAGAATAATTACTAAATTTGGTAGATAAAAAAAATTAATTTAAAAAATGATAAAATAAAAGTAAATACAATAATAAAAATAAGGACCAAAATTAATATAAAAATTAAATTAAATTAAATTTTAAGGAATGGATTTGAAAAACAATTACTAACAATTAAAAGTTTGAAGACTAAATTTAATATAATCAATAAATAATATGATATTTTTAAATTTTACATAACTTTTAAAAATGTTTTCTTTTCAAAATAAAACAAAAATGATTTTTTATGAATCAAATCAAATTTTATTTAACAATATAGTATTTTTGATTAACAAATTTTTTTAATAACAAAAATACATATAAAAACACTATAACATTGCTTTTCATGTCTTATAAAGACTTCACTTCATTAAATTCAAGTGATTTGATGAACTTATTAATATAAAACATAATTCATTAATAATTTGTTAAATTTTATCTAAAAACATTAATTTTAATTAAAAAATTATCCAAAATAATATAGTTTTATTAATAAATCAAAACATCACAGTCAACTCACAAATATTCAAATTGATTTACTCAATCTATAAGAAACCCAGAACCAGAACCTGTACAGGTAATGGGTAGGAATGGTTTCTATTACTATTATTAAGAGTTTCTTGAAAAGTATGCTAAAAATTATTTTTAAAATATTTTTTATTTTAAAATATTTTAAAATATTATTTTATTTATTTATAATATTAATACATTTAAATAATAAAAATATTAATTTAAAATTTAAAAAAATCATATTTGTAAATAAAAAAAATACTTCTATATACATATATATAAAAGAATCAAATCTTAAACTCAACCTTAATGTGTCAAAGTCTTGAAGTTGGTGGCGAGCTACCGTAAACCCCCGTAACGTCTAAAAGATTGCTTCAAAGCAACAGCAGCGGCAGTGCAGGAAGAAGACAAATATGAAAGCTAAAAATCTCTCATGGATTAACTTACCAGAAATTCAAGCTGACAAAACCTAGTCACCCTCTACCACGCTCCTATAAAACTGATATTGCCGCGTACTTGTTACGCGCTTACCTTGGTTGCTATTCTACAGACTCCCTCCCTCCCTCGAACTATAAGAGAAGACCGCTGCAATTAATTTCTCAAGGAAGAAGACAACATGGGCTCTTGTTGTTTTCTGGGTTCTACTCTGTCACTGTTAGTTCTGATCTTGAATTTGGGTTTTACATTGACAAATGGATCGTCGTCTTTTTCATTTTTATCATCATCATCAGCAGCAGCAGCAGCAATGAAGTATGTATCGGCAATAGGTGACCCTGGAATGAAGAGTCCGAATGTGAGAGTGGCATTGGAAGCTTGGAATTTCTGCAATGAAGTTGGTTTTGAAGCTCCTAGTATGGGCAGCCCAAGGTTGGCTGATTGTGCTGATTTGTACTGTCCAGTCACCTCTGGTATATAAATATACTCTCTTTTCAACTCCTACTTTTCAATTATTACATAAAGATTGATTACTCGAATGATGCCATGTTCAACGTTTTTTCTTGGTATTAGAAGGTCATGTCAATCATTTATTGTTTAGTCATTAAATGAAGTCGAATTCTTGCTCGATCGTAACACCGATTGTTATGTGCTTGTATATAGCAATTGGCAGGCGTTTCTTGTGGTGTTTCTGTATTCTAAATGAAATTTCATTTTACTTTCTTTTTGGGGTTGCTTATGGTAATGTCCTTTAAAAGATTAGCTGATTGACTCCAGCAAATTGTTTCCATCTTTGTACGTTTCTATTCCCTGCTTTGGTCATCTTTTCTAGTTGCATCAATCTTGTCAAGTTCCCTAGACTTTTTTATTTTATTTTCCTTTTTTTTGTGTGGATTTATAGCTTTTCATGGGGGAGTATTGCTGAACAACCTCCTCATCTACTTTCCGTGCTGTATTTGTTCAATCTATATCGCAATGGACTTTCTTCTTCTCTAGGCTTTAAGGGGTTGCAATGTCTGTCTGTGAATACGTACTTTAATTTCGCATTTTAACAGGCCTAATTCTTAAGTTCATATCTGATATCTTATCCAATGACGTTCCATCAATGTATTTAGTTGTTGTCAAATCTAGCACCTTTTCTCCAAGCTCATTCTCCATACAGATTTGCACAAACTGTCTTCACGTTCTGATTCCAGTTTGTCCAAATGAAGGCTTCTCAATTAAACTCACAATTTTCACATCTTGCTACACTTAATACTGCCAGAGGGCTTTATTTTTGAGTCTCCATACAGATTTGTACAAACTGTCTTCACGTTCTGGTTCCCGTTTGTCCAAACGAAGGCTTCTCAGTTAAACTCCCAATTTTCACATCTTCTTACCCTTAATACTGCCAGAGGGCTTTATTTTTGCCATGTTGTATGCATAACTTGCTTCACTGTGCTTCTGATAATGATGTTCAGCATAATCAGCTCCTTGATACATGAACATGACATGCAAATTAACCAAATTATGCCCCTTGATGTAATTGGGATGCATTAAATCACATGAATGACTGTGCTGGGTGTAACATAGCAGCAGTTACAAATTCCTTGCTTTTCAACTGTCCTTTGTAGCTTTATGTCTCAATTTTCAGATTCTTTGGGTGCCGAACTTTTGGATAATAGGAGCAGGTGTGAAGTACATCATAAAGTGAAGAAATCTGACAACAGCTTAAGTGCTGGTGATAAGTTTCCTATATCAGATTTTGAATCCTATGAAGACCCTGACTTGTTTGCTGTGCAAAAGGAACTATATCTTGCTACTTTATGTGCAGTTGATGAACCCCCAAAACCATGGCAATTTTGGATGGTTATGCTCAAGAATGGAAACTTTGATAAAAACACGACTCTTTGTCCTGAAAATGGAAAGAGAGTCAGTAAAATAATAACAGGCAGAAACTTTCCATGTTTCGGTAAAGGATGTATGAATCAACCACTTGTGTACCATAACTACTCTCAGTTAGTTTTTTCTGGGGAGAAAATGGTGTCTTTGAGTGGAGGATATTTCGGGACATATGACCTTGATGCTGACCTGAGCAAAGGTGTAGGAAACAACTCCTACTTTTCAGTCTTTTGGAAGAAGAATTTGAGCACAGGGAGTTGGATTTTCACACACAAACTGACAACATCTGCAAAGTATCCCTGGCTTATGTTGTATCTACGTTCAGATGCTACCGAGGGATTTAATGGTGGCTATCACTATAACGGCAGTGGTATCATGCGAAAGGTTTGTTCACTTGACATCCTTCTGAATTGGTAGCGGGAAATTTCACATGAAAACACACATGCTTATTTATTACCCTCTAGAAATACAGAAGCTTTTTGCCTTGTTGTATCGCAGATATGTTTCTCTTTGGTCATAGTTTTTGTGTCTGCACAGTTTGAAGCAAAAACCAAATCATGATATATTTCTATCCTTTTCTTATCTCAGTTGCCAGATTCTCCAAACTTTAAAGTAAAGTTGACACTTAACGTTACACGGGGAGGAGGGGGAAACAGTCAATTTTACCTCCTTGATATAGGTAGCTGTTGGAAGAATAATGGAGATCCATGTGATGGTGATGTTCTGACAGATGTGACTAGATACAGTGAGATGATAATTAACCCAGCGACATCAAGCTGGTGCCGCCCAGATAACCAAGTTTCTTGCCCACCTTATCATGTTAGTCTGACTGGTGAAAAAATATATAGGAATGAGACATCTCGATTTCCATATTCCGCTTACCATCTGTACTGCAGTCCAGGAAATGCCAAATATCTGGAGAAGCCATATGATATCTGCGACCCATATAGCAATCCACAAGCACAAGAATTGGTGCAAATTCTTCCACATCGTGAATGGTCTGTGCACGGCTATCCTGAGAAGCAAGGAGATGGATGGATTGGGGACCCTAGGACTTGGGAGCTAGATACGGGGGCCCTTTCTAGTCGTCTATACTTCTACCAGGTATGTTTCTGATCTTACCTGATATAATGCACTGAAATTGTTACACAGAATTGATCTTATTTATCTCTTTGAGTATTTATATGGTTGAGAACAGGAGGAAATGGTGGTCTGGTAAATTTTTTGTGTGATCTTACCCAATATAATGCTCTGAATTTGTTACACAGAAGTGATCTTATTCATCTTTTGAATAGTTATATGGTTGAGAACAGGAGGAGGAAATGGTGGTCTGGTAAATTTTTCTTGGTTGGCACCTGGCATTTTTCATTAGTTGGTTGTGTACTTTTAGTGCTCAAGACCTTAAAATTTGTCCTTACAGGAAATTCATTGTGATATTTCAAGGTCTATTGAATTTCATATATTTTTCTTAGTCACTTTAACCTTTTAGGTTTGGTGATTCTTCTGTAAGTTGAAGGGACAGTAGGTCCAGCAATTCTGAACATGGCCTATGCATCTTGACAGCTATAGTTGACAGCGTGACAATTCTTGTATCTTTTGAAAGATTCTTCATGTTTGATATACACTTGTTCCCTGTCTGTACTGAAGATATAGTCCCTAATAGCTAGCAATATTCACAAGAAAAAGTATTAAGCAGCGGTTGCTAATATTGAGCAACTTTTATTGAGACTTAGAAAAGGTACTCCAAGACCATTTCTTTTTGCAGGATCCAGGAACAAAACCAGCACGGCGGGTGTGGTCTTCAATTAATGTTGGGACTGAGATATATGTTAGCCGGGCAGGGGAAACTGCTGAGTGGACTGTGAGTGATTTCGATGTGCTGGTTCCAGAAGATATTGCGAATGATGGTCATAACTCTTACTGATCTCTTCTAGCCAGTATGTTTACTCTTCTTCAGGCGAAACACAAGTGAATACATTATAAGGTTATTTGTTGTATATTTGCGTTTGATATATTTTTCGTAAATGTTACAGAATACTATGCTTTCACTTCTTCAAGTTTTGTCCCCTTCTAATCAGTAAATGAAGAAAGATATCCTTTTGCCTTTGATGGAAGGATCAAATCTGGTTCTGAGAAATTGTGTCACAGAACCATGTTGCTATCAAGTATCAGCCTCATCTTTCTGAGATTACTAGGATATGTAGGCATCAGCATAATTGATGATAATTTCATATGGTTCAACATAAATCAGGATATAAGATAATGGATTATCTCTATGCAAATCATTCGTCGATCAACCATAATTGACGTGTAACAAGAATATCATGATAAACAGATTTCATGGCCGAAAATGTATAAAATAGTAACAACAATTGTCGAAATTTTTATTGGATCTTAACAATACCAGTACTCTAGATCCGTAGAAGAATTGGAGGGAGGAAATTTCCTCCGAGACCCCTCATGAAAAGTTTTATAGTCTGCTATGAATATTACAGATTTAAGCTATACTGGTGTTTTATTAGTTTTTCTAAGATGTATTAATCAAAAAATACTAATTAAACAATGATTTGCCATTTTAATTTTTACTTCCTAATTCCAAAAATAAAGCTTGGCATTCCGTAGGACTACATATTAAGAACGCAATGCACATATTTTCTCCTGCGTGTTTTCATTATTGTTAATTTGATTTCTTCACTCATTGTTCATGAACAATCAAGGGCATTGATCACCTCTGCTATCCTATTGTTTGAAGATTCAGTCGAGACATATTTCTAAATCAAACGAATGCATCCTCCACACGAAACATCTAACGTAAACACTTTTATGCTGTTAAAATATCATCTTAATTTAATAAGTTTTTAAATGATATTTCAAAAAATAACGAATAACATCACAGTTAAAAAGAACTGCTATTCCATCAATTTCATAACATGAAAGTCTAGAAATCACCATGATATTTCTATGAATATATAATTGTGAATCAAAACTACAAATGATTGCTAAATCCTTATATAGAAGTATCCATTTCATTTTCCAAGATCCAAAAAAGTGTCAACCCGGAATGTTTGCCAGAATTCCTAAAACATCAAAATAGACAACCTCTGCTTGTAAATAGAAACTACAAATGATTCTTGCTACGAACTTGCAAGGTGAACATTACAGCAAAAGGTGAGTCAGACGAATAAGAGCTCACCAAAGAGAAGAAAACTCGAGTTGACTGAAGATCCTTTTGATTTTACAATGATTTTGATGTTGAGGGACTTAGATTTGCATCCTTCCCACTTTCCTATTTTTATTTTATTTTATTTTATTTAAAAAAATCCATCTTTAAATTCTCAAACTTTTTATATTATTTTAATTAAGCCCTTTTATTTGATTCCATTTGAAAAGGATAAGAAAAACTGTAGCATAAAGTGAAACTCGGTCCCTAAATTATAAGCATAATCTTAGTTGCATCCTTGAAGGAAAACTAATTTGAAAATAAAAGGGGATGAAGATTGATGTTATGACATTTTTAGTATATATTTCCATTACAAAAGTTTAAGGAGGATAATATGTTGATTAAACAATTAACTTATAACTGTTTTGATAAAATTACCAAATTATCTATCACTTAATTTAGAATTGATTTACATTAATAGCACTAGAATTTTGTGTTTGTGTGTGTGTGTATTATTTATTGTAAACATATTTGTTCTTATTGATAGGTATTTATATATCTTCCAAAATATATTTTATTTTTATTTTTTAATTTAATTTCAATAAACAAACCAAATTATGCTTGGGCTCTAGTGGATTTTGTAATGTGTTATGTTCACATGTCTTCTTTTGCAGGGGAAAAACAGTGTTGTTTTATACTAATATGTAATAAATAAGTGGGCTGGGTGATTCTAATAGCTTTTTGATAATATAATAATTATTATTTTTTAAAATATTTTTTATTTGAAAATATATTAAAGTAATATTTTTATTATTTTTAATAGTAACACCTCACAACAACTTGAAAAATTAAAAAAAATTATTTTTTCAAAAACATTTTAAAAATATAGTATAAACATTAAGCTAAGAAATATCGTATTTGTACCATGGCTATCAAATCCAACCTCATCAGATGATTTGCTTATACAAATTAATATTAATTTGAGTATATTAAAATAACTTTATATATATGGTACTTTTTATCAGCATTACCTTATAAAATATAATTTATTATAATGGTGTTGTTATTTTAAATATTTTTTATTTAATTTTATTTTTTATATTTGATTTATTAAATACTGAACTTTATAATTTATTATGGTTTTCTTTCTATGTAGTTATTTTAATTTCATAATCTATATGACAAGTTTAACGAGTTAACTAAGTTGACTCAATGTTTTTTTTTAATGATTTTTTTTAGTTTTATATTTTAACATAGGGCTAATTAAGAATTAAGTTTTATTTTTTGTTTCAGTTTATTTTTTATGAAATTATTCCAATTTCATAACTCAAGTCATGGGTTTTATGAAATAACCTAGATAGACTTACGTTGTTTTATTGTGTTCTTTTTTTAGATTGAATATTTTTTAATTTTATCATTCAACAATGAGTTTATTAAGAATTAGACTTCTTAATTTATTTAATTTACTTTTTATAAACTTATTATAGTATCATGACTTGGGTCATGAAATTAGTAGTTTAATTTTAATTGACTTGGATTATTTTTTTAATTTATTTTTTAAAAAGTTATTTTGCTTTAATAACTTGAATCATGAGTTGGGTTGACTTAGGTTGGTTTTGGTTTTTTTATGTTTTTTTTTTTAATTTTTTCTTGAATTGACAATTATATTTTATAATTTATTTTAATTTATTTTTTATAAGGTTATATGATCACATGATCCGAGTTATAAATTTAGATGTTAAGTCAAATTGACTTGAGTTATTTTTTTAATTATTTTTTTAAATTTTATCTTTTAATATTTATTTAATTAAAAATTAAATTTTATAATTTATTTTATATAAAATTATCATAATCTCATAATCTAAATGATAAATTAAATTATTTTAATTAAATTATATTTTTATTAATTATTTAAATTATATTTAAACTCAACAATCAATTTCAAATTTGAGCATTTTTTTTTTATGCTAAAAAAATGTTAGTTGCGCTCTGTTTCTTTTTATGTTTTTTTTTAATCAAACCCAAAACATAGCATGGACTGCAATCCTGGTATTGACCCGTCCAATTTATAACCCGGCCTTGAGCTGGTCTTAAAGATTAGGACCCGCACACCACGCTCACGTCACAGTTCCAACCCTACTGCTAACTTCTTAAACCCAAGCTTTCTTGCCTGGTTGTCTGAGCCTTACCCCTCTTCACCTCACCTTTACTCTCTGCTTATCTCCACAAGAGCTGGACTTTATTCTTACAGAAGGTAACTACCACTCTTCATTGCAGATCAAACTTAATGTTTTTTTTTGGGTTTGTTTTCCCAGCTTTGTATTGCTAATCTGATCTTTCTGGAGCAACTGAACAATCTTCTGTTGAGTCATGGCTCTGGTAAGTAATGATCATTTTTACTTTCTGGGATTTAGTTTGTTTTTTATTTAGTCTAGTGTTTAGATCTGTTGTACTGATCAGGTTGTCTTGCATTGAAAATTGAGAAAAACAGCGAGGAATGGAAAGGAAAGGAAAATCACACTTGAATTTATTAATGTTTATTTATTGTGTGGTATAGTTGATGGTAAAGTCGATGACTTGTAGATGGTGTGTTATCATGATTAGTTACCATTATATATCCAATTGAAGCTAGGATGTATATGGAATATGGATAATGCATTTCGTATGTCTACATGAACTAAGGGTGTGGAAATTGGTGAAAATGAGGGATTGCGTTTATTTTTGCTGCACCGGATGTAAGAACTAGATGGTTATCTTTAGTATTATCCTTTGAAAAGTTCTTGAAATGAAAATGTTGAAATTCAGATGATCAACTTGCTGTTAATTTCTGGATTGACCCTTTTTGTGTTTCTTTTTCAATCTAGATTTGGAAATGGACTTTTTGACGTTGGTATTTATTTATTTTATTCAAATTGTTGGATTTTAATTTCTTAGGTAATGTTTACAGTAGGTCTGGATGTTTTTGGTTGGCTTTGTCACGGCATGCCTATTCATGTGTGCATATGACTAGTGTCTTTCCTTTGTTGATTTATGGAGTGCTAAGTTGGAAATGCAAAGTGGGGTTTTTGGCCTAATGTAATGAAGTTTGAGACTTTGTATTTAGAAGGGGCTTAGACCCGTTTTCCAACACATGCTTCATGCTGACAAGATTAGACTATTCTTTTTTTCTTGGACTTTAGCAATGATGTTTTTGTTATGGTTAACTGGTTGGTGGCGCTGTGATTTATTTGACCAAAGCACATGGAACAGTTTGAGGTGTTTGAAATTGTCATTCCTTAAAAATTCTATAATAGATCTGTTTCTGAATCTCAAACATTCTTGTTTATTTGCTTCAAGGTATTACATGCGGGCAGCACAAACAAAAATGCTTTAAAGACACTCATTGCTGCTGAGTATAGTGGTGTCCAAGTTGAACTGGTCAAGAATTTTGAGATGGGTGTGTCAAATAAGACACCAGAGTTTCTTAAGATGAACCCCATTGGAAAGGTTTGTTGTGTACTATCAGAAATTATTTAAGGCGTGCCATGATTGTTGTGTTCATTTTTACATATAAGGTTGTTTTGTTTGTAGGTTCCTGTGTTGGAAACTCCAGATGGTCCCATATTTGAGAGTAATGCTATTGCACGCTATGGTGAGGCATAATAAAAAATTATATTCTCTCTGTTTATTTACTGCAGCAGTATGATATGTTCTCAGTTGTCAGCTACTTCTTGGTGCAGTTACTCGCCTGAAGGCTGATAATCCCCTCTATGGCTCTTCATTGATGGAATATGTAAGTGATTCTAGGTTTGGTGATGTTCATACTCAAGAAGTGTTTGGCATGCTGTCCATTCTAATAGACCTTTATTTTTTCCCAAAATTGCTCTCTAAACTGGGCTTTGCAGGCTCGCATTGAGCAATGGATTGATTTTGCAACATTGGAGATTGATGCCAATATTTTGCGCTGGTTCATACCAAGAATTGGTTTTTCTGTATACCTTCCTCCGGTTAGTCAAATTCTTCTTCTCTATGGAACTAGAGTTGAATATTGTTATTTGGAATATATTTATATATACTGGCAGCAATTGGTTCATTATTCTTGTATTTTACTTTTACTCTACCTAAGGCCGAGGAAGCTGCAATTGCTGCATTGAAGAGAGCACTCACAGCTTTGAACACCCATCTTTCCACCAGCACTTATCTGGTTGGACATTCTTTGACATTGGCTGATATCATTTTGACCTGTAACCTGACTTTGGGATTTAGCCGTCTTTTGACAAAAACCTTCACTTCAGAATTTCCCCATGTTGAGAGATACTTCTGGACTATGGTTAATCAGCCAAATTTCCGCAAGATATTGGGTGATGTGAAACAAACAGAATCTGTTCCTCCTGTGCAAAAACCTTCACAACAAAAGGAACCTGCAAAACCTAAGGAACCTGCAATTCCTAAGGCTAAGGAGGAGCCAAAGAAGGAAACCAAGAAAGAATCAGCAAAGCCTAAAGCAGAAGAGGCTGGTGAAGCAGAAGAGGCGCCCAAGCCCAAGCCTAAGAATCCCCTTGATCTTTTGCCGCCTAGTAAGATGATCCTTGATGAATGGAAGAGGCTTTATTCTAACACAAAGACCAACTTTCGTGAGGTTGCAATTAAAGGTACTTTTTTCCCCTTTCTTTTTGTGAGTATGATTATTAAGTTTGTTCACACAATATAGATTTCATTAAAATCTAGGACTATTCTTGGCCCTTTGAATTCGCCTGTGTTTCTGCCTGTTAGTAGTTAAACTATTTGATGATTGCAGATACACAGTTTGGCTAATGATTCTCTCTTGTGATAAATGAGAAATTAAGACTGTTAATGTTTGGCTAATGATTGCATGCACTTTAGAGTTACCTTAGATCTTTCATGTTTACTACTTGCTCATGCTTCTGTTTTCCTCCATAAATTACATACCTAAATGGGGGTTTTTTTTCCCTAATTAAATCCCATCTAGCTTTCTTCTGAGTCATTTCCAGTTCATGGGTTGGTGTTCTCCTGTTTTTATTTTCAGATTGGGTAGCTTCCTCGTGATTAAGTTATAACAAAACCCCTAAAAATCCCTTTGTTGGTTTTGTAATTTCCCGGGAAGAAAAGAAGCTCATAAATTAAGTTTTTGTGATTGCTTTTTCATTGTAAAAGGAAAAAAAAATCATCCTTCTTTCAAAATAGGAAACTCAGGTTCTTTTAGTGGACTTTCTAGGTAATAAGATTTGTTATTGCCTTTGTTTGCAGGATTTTGGGAAATGTATGATCCCGAGGGCTATTCCCTTTGGTTTTGTGATTACAAGTACAATGATGAGAATACAGTGTCATTTGTGACATTAAACAAGGTAGGAGGTTTCCTTCAGAGAATGGACTTGGCTCGTAAGTATGCTTTTGGGAAGATGCTGGTGATTGGCTCAGGACCACCATTCAAGGTGAAGGGGCTGTGGCTCTTCCGTGGACAAGAGATTCCCCAGTTTGTGATCGACGAGTGTTATGACATGGAGCTTTACGAGTGGAAGAAGGTTGACATCACAGATGAAGAACAGAAGGAGCGAGCCAGTCAGATGATTGAAGATTATGAGCCTTTTGAGGGGGAGCCTCTATTGGATGCCAAATGCTTCAAGTGATCAAGTTTCTGCCTGCTCTGTTAGTTACAATGCTCAGGGTTCTCCCAAATTGCTGTTTAAACTTTTCTAAATTCTGTCTTTGGTCTTCAATTTCTGTTTGCAGTGGTTTTTGTGACACCAATAGCAACGTTGTGATGATAGTCTGGAATAATTGAGATATCCCTACGTTTTTGGTTAAGATTAATTTTTTTAAACATCTAAAAGAAATATTAAGGTGTGGATAATATTTTTTAGTGAAAAAAAAAACTTTTAAATTATGTAAAGGTTTACTTGATTTGACTTGATTGGTTGGATAGATTTAAAGATAAATTGAACATTTCAAGAAAATATTTCTAAAAAAACATTGATTTGATTTGACTTGATTGATTGGATAGATTTAAAGATAAATTGAATATCAGTAAAAATATAGTTTAAGTTGTAAAGATTCAAGAAAATATTTCTAAAAAAACATTGAAATAAAAATATATTGGATTGATTTATATTAATTTAGGTTAACTTATTAGATCTTTTCTTTCAACTTAGTGTTGAAGAATGAAGAAATTAATTTTTTTATTTAAAAAATATTTTAAAAAAATATATCAGATTGATTTGTATTAATTTTGAGTTAATTTGTTAAATTTTTAACTTGGATTATGAGATTGATAATTCTAAATAAAATAAATTATGAAGTTTAAGTATGATTTAGTTTTGAAAAAAAAAAGTTTAAAAAATAAAAAAAATAACTTGAGTTAATTTATTAAATTCATAATTCATATAATGGGATCATAATAATTTTTTAGAAAATAAACAAAAAAAAAATAACTTGAATCAACTCATGTTAACCTATTATGAGTTATAAAACTATATAACCTCATATAAAGAAATTTTAAAAAGATTATAAAGATTAATTTTTAATAAATTCATTGATGAAAGATGAAATTAAAAAAAATCAGTATAAAAACATGACATAATAAAACGACTTGAATTAACCAGCAAACCACATGACTCAAGTAATAAAACCGGGATAACTTCATAAAAAGTATTTAAAATAAATCATGAAACCTAATTTCTAATCAACTCAAACTTAAAAGATGAAATTGAAAAATTACCAATTAAAAAAATATAAAACTTGAGTCAATCAGATTAATCAACCAAATCCGCAAATCACAACTCAGACCCTAAGATTAAAATAACTTAATAAAAAAAACCAAAATAAATTATAAAGGCAAACTCATAATCAACCAGAAGTTGAAGGATAAAATTGAAAAACTATAAATTAAAAAAGACAAAAAAAAATTGACTCAATCGGGTTACGTAGCCAAACCTTCAAATTGCAATTTAAGTTATGAGATTGAGATAATTTCATAAAGAAAAGCCAAAATAAATCATGAAATTTAATTCTTAATTAACTCAATGTTGATCAATAAAAAAAAAACAAAAAAAAAAACTCTAGTTAATCATATTAATTTGTCAAACTCGTGACAAAAATTATAAAAATGGGCTAACCATATAGAAAGCAAACCATAATAAATTATAAAGCCCAATCTACAATAAATGAAATGTCAAATAATGAATTTTAAAAAAATACATAAAATAAAAAAAATTATCAAAATAAATAGTATTTTATGAGATGATATATAAGAAAAACACCACTCTTTTTAGTTTTTTATTAACGAAATTTGTTTTGTGCACTGTGCCTTGGGCTTTCGGTGTTTAAAAACAATGCTAGGATAAAAGAAATCCAACTCATGAGTTATTACTTTAATTGGTAATCAAAATAATATAAAAAACACTGCAATAATAAATAAACTAGAAAAAAATAATAAAAAAAATAAAAAACCTCGAACTTAAACCTATTTAGATTATTAAATAATCTAATATTGAAAAGTGGAACTATAATGAAAAAAAAAGAAGAAGCAAGTTCTTTCTTTTTAAAGCCCTATCAAATCAAGTGAGTTTGAAAACCTTGTGATAATATGCATAAAATTATGATAATCTTATATGGATAAAATTAAAATAAATAAATTAAAAAAAATCCATACTAACCTTTGAGACCGATGATTATAATCATGAACCCGGAGCTAACCCAATAAAAAACATATCATAAAAAATAACAAAGCAAAACATTTTAAAAAATAATAAAACAATAAGAAAAAACCAACTTAAAAAAACCTATGTGAACCTCATAAAACCTGGTTTAATCACCAAAAACTTGTTACTCATAAAATTCTATATTTAAATTCAATTAAGAAAATTCACTCTTAATTAATTTAGTTTTGAAGAATGAATTGTTGAAAAAATATTAAATATTAAATGAACAAATTTGCAATTTTAATTTTTTTATTTTCAAATACTTTAAGGGCTTGTTTAAATATGTGATGGCGGTTGCTTTTCAAATAACTTTTCGTGTCAAAATATATGCCAATTATATTTTTTTAATTTTTAAAAATTATTTTTAACATCAGCACATCAAAATGATATGAAAACAATAAAAATATATTAATTTAAAATTAATAAAAAAATAAAAAAATTTAATTTTTTTCAATAATATTTTTAAAACACAAAAATAATCTCTTATAAACACAAAATTAATACTCCATAATTCCAAGAATAAAGCTTGGCATTCCGCAGGACTATAAGGACGCCATGCACATGTTTTCATTATTGTTAATTTGATTTCTTCACTCATTCTTCACGAACAATCAAGGGCATTGGTCTTCTCTTCTATCCCATCGGTACAACTTGATTTCCAAAGAGTTGAATTGTTTGAAGATTCTATCGACATATATTTCTAAATCAAGCTTAGCAAACCTATAATGTGAATATTTTTATGATGTTAATTAACTATTTTAATTAAAAAAATTAAATTTTTAAATAATATCTTAATATATAATTTATATTATTGTTTAGCATATAAAACCAAGAAACACGCTAAGATTTTAGGTTTTTTTTAAGAATAAAAAAATAATTATACAATCACAATAAATAATAAAATAAATCTATAACTACATTGTTTTCACCTTCCATTTTAACTTTTTTTTGTTATATGATATTCTTTTGCTCGATGGCTGGAGACCATTGGAACTCACATGATAATCTGATCCATTAAATTAATTAATTAAATATTAAAAAAATAAAAACTAAAACTAAAAATAAAAATAACAACAAAATAAAATCAATGACTGGTCACGTGAGGCTCAGGTGAGCACAGAACTGGAAGCATCAGAGCAGTCGCATGCCAGAGACGTGTAAATTGTAATAAAAGGTCTCCCACAACTAACGCAAGTATTCATTCTTTCAACTTTCGACCAAACTGCTGCTACTGTCTCTCTCTCTCCCCCTCTCTATCACAACAATCTTAATTTTACAAAGGAAAGAAATGGGGAGTTGTTGTGGGTTTGGATCTCTACAGATTTTTGTTATTTTCTTCTTGTCAATTTCCCTGCATCTTCTTTCAGGTACCTCCATTTTGTTTTTCATTTTCGTTCTTGATTTACTTGTATTGACTTGATACATGCGATACCCACTCTTTGGAATTTTAGGATTTCTGTGATTCTTTAGTTTTTAGTTTCTGTTTCTTGTTGAATTGTTGAATTTTCGATAATCTATCTGTTTGGTTTCTGGGAAAACTAAGGAAGGAAAACAGACAGATGCTAAATAATGAATTTTAGTTGTGGTTAGTTCATTTTTTTCCCACTTTCAAGAAACTTAGAGAATTTTGGATCTAAGCTCTAATGGGTAGCTAACAAAATCAATTTCTTAGGAATAATATTTGTTCAATGGTTTCAAGGCCCGAATTTTCTTCTTGTATTTATCAATTTGTGACCTGAAATTTAATTGCGTAAGATGTAATTCTCATGATTCTATTTGTGTAGTTTTTGCTGTCTTAAAGCGTGACGAACCTTGATTTTGAGTTTTCTGTTGTATTTAATCAATTCAGGCAACATTTATTTCACTATTAAAGATGGGTTTCAAACTTTTGTTTTCTGTTTCAAGGTTTAGCGAGTGACCCGGCGAATCCTAAAGATACAAATAAACCTGAGAGGCATTCAAAAAGCTCAGTGGGAATTAAGGTGGTAATAGCCTGTCTCAGTGTCGTGGCGATAATTGGATTTACCATGTTATTGTTTAAGATTTGGCAAAAGAAGAAGAGGGAAGAGCAGCATGCCCGTCTTCTAAAGCTTTTCGAAGATGATGATGAGCTTGAGGTTGAGCTTGGCATCAGGGATTGAGATCACTTTCTTATTTTGGTGCTTTGACTGTATCTAGTCGAGGTGTGCATCGCAACTTTGATCTCTTATACAATTTGTTATCTTATAATTACAGGTTCGGGAAAATTTTAGTCTGGTGGTGCATAACTTTTCCCTGTTGTGTATTATACTGTAGGTCATATATACCGATTATGCTAATAGGCAATCTTAAAGTCCATGGAATTACTTTTTCCTTTTTGCAAATCAAACAGTTTTGATTCAGCTAAAGTGGTTTAGCATTTCCCCTTCCAAGTGCTTTGTTTATGTGATTTTATTTTGTTCTCCACCTTGCCCTTTTCTTTTTGTAAATGGTCTTCATCTTGTAGTTGCTTCCCATTAGTAAGTCACCTTGTAACAACATGAAAATCCAGTGGCCAGCCCTGAAAATAGTGAACTCACAGAGGTGTAATTATATAATCAAAAATGCAATTGGAGAAAATACCTGCAAGATGATGCTGGGCTTTTAGTAGTCATATTTTTAATAAATTTCATACATTTCATAGATGCAAGATGATGCAAGGTTTCTCGTGTTCTGAGGCAAATGTTTTTCCTTAAAACTTCGTTTGGATGAGTTGTGATGGCGAATGCTTTACCCTTATGTCGTCTTGTTTTGAGGCAAATGATTTTCCTTTTTAAAGATAGGGTTCATTATCCAGATCACTTGTCAGCCTAAAAAGTGACTATCTGCCCAGTACTGCTATACAAAATTTAGCATGTCGAAGCAAGTTTGTCTTGACAGCTTCATTCATAGATGAGGGTTAGAGTGTAGATCCAGTTAGCTGGAATGGATGTTGGCAGAGAAGCTATTTAGAAGAGCTAAATTGGTAATATAGCTTTTTAAACAGTATAAATATAGTGTATATTTTTTTTTATATATGCATTTTAATAGAAAAAAGGCTATTTCAAAAAACTAATTATATTATAGTATATTTGATATTGATATAATTAT